TGTGTTTAAAGGGGGAAGAATGAAATATTTGGAAAGTTAATTACAGGCAAAATATATTCTGAAGTGCCCACCGAGCACACAAACACACACAAATATTTTGTCACCATAAAATATTAATACCTAGCTGGGCCAAAACTGCTCTGGAGATGTTTCTCCAGAGAATTATCCTTGGACAGAAACTGTAGACAGAATGGTATCATGTGCTGTACTGGTGAAAAACCTACAGCACAGATGACAGTAACTATTTTATTCAAAGGCTTAGCTGCTGTCCATTGATAATAAACCAAATTTTTAACACTGTTTGTGCCTGTGACAGCACCATCTGGAGACTTTTCCATGCTGTGAGCTGGTCAGATTGGGTGCAGCTGCAGATAAAATATCACACACACCCTCCCGCCTCTCCATTTAACAGTACAGAAATCCAGCAGACATGTGTTGAAATGTATCATTTACAAGTTACAAGATCCAGAAATAGCTCAGGACAAAGAGAAACACCTAAGGTTGGCAAGAGAAGCATGCAGGTAAATCAAAGCATGTCATCAGGCTTGGGGCTTTGAAGATTGCCAATTTTAGGTTCTTCTTCTCAGTGCTTAGAAAAACTACTTTCGAGATCACATCTTTGCTGCCCTTCTGCGAGCAGGCAAAGACCTGTCTCTTCAGACAAGCCTTCCTTCACTAACTAGCTACCTGGGTGTGATGTTTTAGATGATTTGTTAAGCATTACTGTTTTGATTGGGTTTTTAGCACCCATTTTTGTGTTTTTCATTTCTCAGAGTGGTGTCTGGGTTTGTTTTTCCTTTTAAATATTTGTATGCTTATTGTTCTTAGCTTTAATAGTGCCTCTTAATGATGTAAGCTGCCTCTTTATACTCGTGGCGCTTAGCTTTAAACATTGTCTTTTAATGACGTAAACCACCGTTGCATACACATTGTTTTTAGCATTAAACATTGTATAATGATGTAAGCTGCCTCTTTATACTCATGGCGCTTAGCTTTAAACGTTGTCTTTTTAATGACATAAACCACCATTGTATACACATTGTTTTAGCATTAAACATTGTGTTTCAATGTTGCAAGCCGCCTTGGGCTGTTTTCAAGGGAAAAGGCATGGTATAGACAAACAAACAAACAAATTCTGCAAGCAAGCTGCAGAATTATGGGAGCTGTAATCTGAAAAGGGAACATGTCCGATCTCTGCACGTGATACTCCACCTCCCTTATTTAAAACTAAAACAAACAAACAAAAAGGTCATCTCAGGAGCCTACCAGTCACAAGAACTAACTAGGAGAAGCATGTGATTAAAGTTTCCTCTTGGACATTTGCCCAGCTCAAAATCACAACCTTATAAGGGCAAGAACTGCAAGCTACTGAGCCTTGTGTTGAGTTGTATCCTTGCAACATCTTAAGGAAGAGCCTTCTAGACTGCAGTGGTCCCCAACCTTGGGCCCCCAGTTGTTCTTGAACTTCAACTCCCAGAAATCCTGGCCAACAGAGGTGGTGGTGAAGGATTCTGGGAGGTGTAGTCCAAGAACATCTGGAGGTCCAAGGTTGGGGACCACAGTTTTAGAGGGACTCTGCCCAGGTTGGGCATTAGCTTCTCTTGCTTCCTGTTGTGCAGGTATGACTTTTTTATGCATGGAGTGTTACAATAATTAAGGGGTGTGTATGGGGGGGAAAAGGTCCATCTGTTCTCCGACATGCTTCCTACTCCTGCTTTGACATCTGATCTAGATGGTGCCTTTCTCTTGTCCTCAAAGAGGCAGCTAGCCATTTTTTTTTTTTTTTTGCAACGGGAGTAATCGACACCATCTCTCAACCATTCAGACTTGGATGCAGTTCTTCCCAGGAAAAAAAAAGAGTACAATGAGATTCACTGCACCTCCAAAGAAAAAGAAAGCTTATGCTTTCAGAGGAGGAGGAAATCCAAAGGGGAC